CGCTGCTTGAAGACAAAAATATTCAATATTTTGTAAAAATAAGGTCTAATACTAATTACCACAAATTTACATTCATATATTTATTATGATGAAAAACAAAACATTCGTCTGATGAAAATATATACATATCTACATATATGCACGCACATACATAAATATATGTGATTCTTTGCTTATGTAGATAAAAAAATGATAAAGATGTCTTGAATTGTGATTTCATTATAATATTGCACACTTCTGATAACTATTAGCTGCGTCTAATTATAAAAAAATTCACAAAGTTCCCTTCAATGGATATCTGAAAGATGAAGTATAGTCATGACAAGAAAATTTAAGAGTTTAAGAAAATATTCATTCAGTATCACGATTAGCTATATTTATTTCCAGTTGCCATCACTTAAAAGTGGGTTTCTGATGGGGAAAATCAGTCAATTACTCCAATTTTCAATGTCTTTGTTTATAAAATGGTAAAGTTAATTGGTTTATTTCAAGAGATGCATGACCCAGTTCATAAGCAAACACTGACGAGAGGAAATAGCGTGATAATCTTCAATAATCAGTAGCTCATATTATTTTTCAGTCTCATCACTACCAAGGCTTCCAAACAATTCACAGTGCTCAATTCAAAATGAAAATATGGACCCTTTAATTTTTAAAAAAGGCAAAATAACTCAAGTTACTAAATATATCAGTTCTTGTTGATAGCATTTTTATTTTTCTCTGAATACTACAAATGCATCCCACTTTAATATCTATGCTTGGTCTTTCTTCCCTGAAAACTGCAGCTTACAAACAATTTTGAAGTATCTTGTCCCTGAATATACTTTAAGGAAACTTTACTTGTCATGCTCTCCATTAACAGCTATGTAGTTTCATCATTTGGAAAGCAAACACTCAAAAAGGAAGCTTATTTCAATTTTTTTTTTATTTGTTTTTAAAATTTGTTTAAGAAAAGCCCTCCTCATGCACTGTGTAGCCCAGGCTGGCCTCAACCTTGCTACTTAGTTTAGGCTGGCTTAGTGATCTTTTTTCCTCAGTCTTCTGAGAGTTGGAAATACAAGCATCTACCATCAGGCCTAGCTGGAACAGGAATTTTCTATGCCAGTTTTTCAATATAGGACAGAAATCACTGGCCTCTACATATTGACTCTCTGATTAAACTGACCAATACTGTTCCAGTCAACTGTATCCATGGGCTCTTGTGGGAGTGTCAAGGACACCATAGGTGGTGGAGCATTAATGGCTAAACTGAGAAATTTTCAATTAGAACAAAGGATAACCAGGAGAATCTCTGTGATTGCCATATGTAAAGTGTGTAGGAAATCCCGTTACCCAAATTATTGAATTTGTCAGAAAGTCTTTTCAAAATTAAAGTTGGTCATTTGAAGAAAATGGTGGTGCAATTTGAGCTCACAATGCTCAGTGAAATAAATCAGAGAAGGTTAACTGTTACATGGTTTCTCTTAAAGAGAAACCAAAATATAAATAATTTTAAAAGCAAAATCAAGATAGATGATAGAGACAAAAGTTGTGGAGATGAGAAAGGGATCTAGGGATGGGGAGAGAAAGAGAAGGAAACTAAAGAGGATCAAGATTCCAATGTATATGTACCAATTCCCCATGAGGAATATATTTATTATGCATCATGAACATATACTACTAATAAGGAAAGTTCATGCAAAAATTTAAAGGTGATATATATCATTTACACATTTCATTGTAACTTTAAATTGTAAATGTAAATATATTTTGAAATATTGACATATAAAACTAGGAATTTATAAGTAAACTGATAGTCCTGTACAACTTCTTTCCGTTTTAATTTTTCTTGCTTTCAGCCTAAACCACATTGGTAACTCATTCTTGCCAATTGTCTCTATCTCTTTAAAGCGCATCAAGCATTTAGAAATGTTTATGAAGCAATCTGTGTGCAGAATCCTTTTAGAAGTCTGTGATTTTTTTCCCTAGTTATTTTTATATAGTTGTCCAGCCCACACTTACTTTGAAAGCATTTCAAACAATTCACCTTTATGAAGTTGTTTTCAAGGAATACAACTGTTTTCATAGAAACCACCTTCTGTATTTTCATAAGTTTTAGTTATGTTTAAATAAATTATGTAAGCACAAAAACAAATACAACTGTTATAAAAGGATTTAAGGATAAACACACCTGATACTAGTGCCAAAACAAAGAGCACAGAATTCCAGGACAAAGCAGTCTCCTCAAAAGTATTCAGCAAGCAGAGACTTCGATAACTATATTTATCAGAGAGACTACAATGTATTGTGAAATCTGGTAAATTTTTAAAATGGATTATATGTAAAAGAATTTGTATTATTTTCTTATTCTTACTCAATTAAATATATCTAATTTTATTTCAGCTTTCTTAAATTTGCCTCTGAATGAGAAGGTAAAAATGAAGATGGGCTTTTGTTCACATCTAATAAATATATAATTAAATACTTAGTTTACTTAATTCATATAATGAGATGATATGTTCATAGTAGAGTTGTTGAGTTTTAAATGAGTATATATTTTAAATATACCACAATGCAGACTTTCTATGGAGCCCCAAAATGACACACATACTGAATATTTAATATTTATACTTTAGGAAATACAAAGAAAGGAATGATATTTTTAGAATGCTGTACATCTATCCTGAAAACTCTTCAAAAAGGATATGCTAATGAATAGAATTCATACAAAGATAAATAAATTATGCAAAATTTTAAAGATTGAGTTTTTATGACCAAAATCAGTTTTTTTTCAAGTAAATATTAGATGAAAGATACAACAGTATTTTCAAACAAATCAACTCAGTAATAATCACAATAACCAAGTTCAGAACAGGTATATTTTTCCCCAAAACACCCCCAGTTCTATTAGGAGTAACATTTATAGTTTTAGTATCTTAAAAGATGCAAATATTCTGCCAGTATTTCAATGATTTATTTTCCTTTAGCAATAATTGCATTTTCTCTCCTCACTCAAGCAGAATAAGAAAATTTAATCCTTCTCCATCATTCCTCCAGAAAAGGAATTTTGGTTGTTTCTTTGCAAGTAAATATTGGAGCCATATTTTGTGATAGATATTTCCAACTAATTTCTTCCAGTCATATTCAGAAATGATAAATTAGCTCTTTGTTAACTGGTGCACTTTCCTATTATTTTGTTGTTTTCTTGAATCACTTTCTCTGAATTTTATTCTCTAGTGTTGAGTACAGAAAAAAATATATCACATGAATTAGTAGCATTCTACAGATGAAATTGGTAATATTATCTATACTTTGAAATATATATAGCAGTTAAGAAACTAAATATTTAGATTCCTGTCTCTGGGAATTTAGTAAGTGGCAAATCTGGATTCTAATATGACTCTGATGTTAATGTCCATATCACACCTTGAAGAAAAAAACTCCACTTGTACACCTTACTGCAGAAATAGTTCACATATTGAGCCATAAAGCAATATTTGAGACTGGAATAGAACAAAGACTGAGATGATATGAGATGAGCTCCTTCCAATAAAATATATCTGTATATTGCAGGGTCTCTGTGTGCTAATTGGTGTAATATTTTAAAGACATGATCAGTAATTTTCATTTCATGTAAGTGGCCATTTGGCCACATGATAATGCTGTAAGAAGCTGAGTAATGGGATCAAAAGGACACTTGCCTTAGCTGACTATTACTTCTTATTTAATATACATTAAATAGACTATTAGTCAAGAAACCTTGTAAAGAGGCTATGGCACCATTTATAGCTATTGGAAATAATTTAACTAAACTGTTGTAGGATGATTATAAGAAAGCATTTTGTAGAAGAAATTATATGAACAAAAGGATTTAAGGATTTCATGATGCTCTAAAAGAGATTAAAAATTACATTACAATGATGAAGAACTTAGTCCTTATGAGTATAAATGTCAACTTAATATATGGCTGACATTGTGTTAAAAAGCATAATGGCATTGTTTTTAAATTTTTTGCCTATAAGTCAATGATTAGATAAAAACATGAATCATAGCAATAAGCATTATATCTGAATCTAAAAGTCACATCAAAAAATACCCTATTATAGAATGAAGAAAGGACCTTTCAATACTACCTTATGGACCTCAGCCTACTCAGGAAGAGTGCTAATAATTAGAGGTAACAAATAATGGAGTTGGTACATTAATCACAGGATTTTTTTAGATATTTATAAA